ATACTTCATACGTCTCAAGGATGAAAATTCTTTCACCATAGAAATCATTAACACTAAAATTTATCAATTGATTATTAAATAATCAGTTTTTTATAATGGAAATTTTAGATGTGTATATTGTTTGACTTAAATGGTACTTCAAATTAAAATTAAAGTAGACTTTCTTCCCGTGCCGGTATGAAATCTAGTACTACACATCAAGAAGAAACTCAAACTTTATTTGGTAATTTTTCTTCTTTTTAATGTTAGAAAAAGAAAAAAAATTAGGGCATAAGATTCATTTTTCTTAAAAATTATGTGGCTAAAAATATTTGTCTCCATGTAGCTTATGTTTTTTTAGTTTTACGAGATGAGGGAAGTATGAATTATAAATAATCTATTTTTAAATATGACATTGATGGATATTGTTAATTAGAGTGTTTGGCTCCAAAGTTTAAATCATATTGAGTTGTAAGACATTGTAAACTATTGCTGCTAATTTATTGCTTGTGCATTGCACACATACGAATTTAGACACCAATACGTAATACATCTGTTTTAAAAACTTACTTCTAAAACTCTTATGGTTTCAAAAGGTTGCACGCATACTCTAACATTTTGTTTATTTTTCCGGCAAAGACTTCCAAACCACACGAGGTATTAGAGCCTACTATCATAGTTTTCCTTCATTTTTAAGTTTCTTTCTTTTAATTACTCCGTAATATTTATAATTAGAATTGTTTGAGTTTGAAAAAAGTTAAACTATCATATACTTCATACGTCTCAAGGATGAAAATTCTTTCACCATAGAAATCATTAACACTAAAATTTATCAATTGATTATTAAATAATCAGTTTTTTATAATGGAAATTTTAGATGTGTATATTGTTTGACTTAAATGGTACTTCAAATTAAAATTAAAGTAGACTTTCTTCCCGTGCCGGTATGAAATCTAGTACTACACATCAAGAAGAAACTCAAACTTTATTTGGTAATTTTTCTTCTTTTTAATGTAAGAAAAAGGAAAAAAATTAGGGCATAAGATTCATTTTTCTTAAAAATTATGTGGCTAAAAATATTTGTCTCCATGTAGCTTATGTTTTTTTAGTTTTACGAGATGAGGGAAGTATGAATTATAAATAATCTATTTTTAAATATGACATTGATGGATATTGTTAATTAGAGTGTTTGGCTCCAAAGTTTAAATCATATTGAGTGGTAAGACATTGTAAACTATTGCCGCTAATTTATTGCTTGTGCATTGCACACATACGAATTTCGACACCAATACATAATACATCTGTTTTAAAAACTTACTTCTAAAACTCTTATGATTTCAAAAGGTTGCACGCATACTCTAACATTTTGTTTATTTTTCCGGCAAAGACTTCCAAACCACACGAGGTATTAGAGCCTACTATCATAGTTTTCCTTCATTTTTATGTTTCTTTCTTTTAATTACTCCGTAATATTTATAATTAGAATTGTTTGAGTTTGAAAAAAGTTAAACTATCACATACTTCATACGTCTCAAGGATGAAAATTCTTTCACCATAGAAATCATTAACACTAAAATTTATCAATTGATTATTAAATAATCAGTTTTTTATAATGGAAATTTTAGATGTGTATATTGTTTGACTTAAATGGTA